CTGCCCATGTCGTTACTGAGCAGGTAATGCCAGGGCTTCTCTTGGCGCCAAATGCTTGTTGCTGTTTTTGTTTTGATTGGTTTTAAAAAAAACAAGTATACAACCACACATTCAGGTGAGTTGAACTATGCTGATTGAAACATTCACTAGTCCCGCGGCTGACTTTCTCCTTACCCTGGGCCTTGCCACATCCTTGCTGGGCATCATTTCAATTAACTTGCTTAGCTCACGATCCACTGAACTGCATGGGACCATCACTGCGGTTTCTTCTTGTGCTGAACATGTCATCAGCATAGACAGAAATGGCCAGTTTCTCACCAGGGTTCTGGATGGTGGCAGATCCTATGGAAAGCTCTGGGACATGCCAGAACGCAGCATCAGGGCTGGGAAACGGGCAAGGAAGTCTTGGGGCTCAGGGCATGCTGTCCCATGTGGAGCCAGGCACTTGTTTCCTTTTCCAAGCAAGATGATGATGCTGACTATTTGTTTCTTCTCTCAGGCAATGCAATTCGGCACCGAAGACAACAGCACAGTCGTCATAGTGCCATTTGGAGCATGGGGAAAGTACAAAAACGGTGGGCTCAACTTCTCCTTCAGCCGCAGTTTTGCTTCCAGTGGGAGGTGGGCGTGACGACCTACCACAGCTATCTTTTCCTGCCATAACCTGGACACAGCGTGCTACAGGAGAACACATCCATCTGTTCATAGATTGGCTCAGTGTCTTGTCCATCTCTTCTGTTCCCAGTGTTATAGAAGATGCCACTGTTCCCTCGGTGCATGATGCCCCGTCATTGCTTATGGCTGATCGTATTTTGCTGCATTTATTTATTCCAGTCGGCATTGAGGCAGCTATTTCTTTGGGTATGTAGTCCCAGCAGCTCTGCACATCACTTTGTTCACGTAGACGAGGTTCTGGGCTTTCACCTAAGGCTGGAGGTGTTGCACAATTGTTTCATACCTACCTGTATTACCCAGGACCCTTGGTCACCTGGCAGCTGCGTAAGTCTGAGTCTCTGAGCCACACACTGGCTTCTTTGTATGTAAATATGTGAGGAAACAAACGCACAATGTTCGTAGGCAGACAGAGAGCGTGTTTGGTGTCTTCTGCTGTGCAGCCACCCAAAACTCCCCTGTGCTTCAGGAGAAGCGGATGAAAAATAAAGAGGAAGTTTCAGAAGCGTTTAGGTTCTGATGCCAGTGGCATTTGGTGCGGCTGAACAACTTCCTGAGACACTGCTGCTTTGCAGGGCTTTATGCTCTCCCCACCATCATCCGTGATCCTCTAGCTCCAAAGAGACGGAGCAGGCTGGAGCCACGTGCTGTTGGACAGGTGGGAACTTTTCTCTGTTGGGTCCAAAGCCTGTACAGTCTCTGTGGACCACACAGCAGCCCCTTGCACTGTCTTCTCTTTGGTGTGCCAGTGCTTGACAGGAGCACAGAGGAGGGAAAAAGCTGCACATTTTTGATATCCGGAGCCTCTCATCAACTTGAATTTTTTTTTTTTTTTTAAAGAAAACCAGCTAATTTCAAAGAGTTTACTAATCAAGATTCTTTAGATGTGCAAGATGGGAGTTTATTTCTTCATGAATATATGAGGATTTTCCTGCCCTCCACTGAAGATTTCTTTGAATTAGTCATGATCTCCTGTGTCTCTTCATGGTATGCAGGGAGCTGTAAAATGCCCAAAGCAAGCAAGCTAGAGAAAGGAGAGAGCATTATAATAAGGTAATTTTTCTATGTTTGGGGTATTGTTTCTAGTAGGTGTCAGATATGCAGACACCAGAAGGTAGTTTTATACTTCAAGGAAGCATTTCCACTTCCCTTTCTGGAGGCAGTCTGCGTCCAGTGAGGCACAGGGGGCCAGAGCTCTGAGCCAGCTCGTATCGCTGCTGCGACACGGACTGTGGGTGACCTGCTGGCACCAGGGGAAGATCTGGCCCAGCGTGGCTCCTTCAGATCTCCTTCCTCCTCCACTCCACATCAGGTGCACACCTCCTGTGGCCTCCTGGTCACCCTGTTGCAATGAAATACGGGCAGAGAAGAATTGGGCTCTTCTCAGAGTTGCCGCAGTATTTTTCTCATTCTGTGGATGTTTCCAACAGCACAACTGTAAAAACAAAACAAGTGAAAGGGAAGTTGCCTGATACTAAATCACCTTGCACTAAGGAAAAGTATTTCTGAGATGCCTGGCCTGATTCTCATTTTCCAGTGTGAAGTACACATCTTCATTACTTTTAGCCCTTTCCTTTTAGCCCAGGGTTACACCTTAGGCAGTCATTCCACACATTTTTCCTTGCCTGCGGTCGAAGGCCTAGCAGCACCCAGCAGAGCACAGCGTTGTACTGACGGCATTAAGTACTGAGTGGGTCGAGAGTACGCTGGTTTTGTCCTTGGTCAATCACTTGGTGTATTGTGTGGTGTACATAATGTGTATATTCGGTTTATGAGTACAAAGAGCTTGTGAGTCAGCATATGTCGATCTCTGTTGTATTGGATGCTGTTGCCCAGGCCTCCATAACGAGCACATCGCTGGTTTACAATAATAATCCCTTCTCTCTCCCCAGATTTTCCCCAGGGCTGGGGTTGAGTCTATACCTCAGGTCAGAATGTTTGCTGGTCGTGGTCCTGGGCTCAGCCTTGCTTACCTGAGGCAGGGGGGCACCTTCATTCGTTACCAGCGAGAGCAGGTTCTCAGTCTCTGGCAAGTTTGAAGATTCCCACAACCCATTTGTGGCAAAAATGACAAAACCCAGCCTCTCCTGAGCACTTGAGGAGAGGTCACACCCGACAGAGGTTCAGAGACCTGCTCTGGGAACATGGTTACGACTGGTTTGCGCTGCAGCATGAACAGACGACAGCCTTTCTCCTGCCAAAGAAGTGACCTGCTAAACCAGCCAGTCCGATAGTCCTAGCAAAGGGTTAACCACAGCACGCAGCAGTCTTACTCCGGGCACAGTGAAGGGTTAGAGTCAAGCTCTGGAAGAGGGAGTTGCTGCGGGGGTGGCTTTGGTATCAAATGTCAGACAGGCTTGAGCAGTGCTGTGGGGTTTGGATAAGCTCCATCCGCACCGTCCTGTGCCAAATGCTGCTCATTTCTGTTCGGCCGGCTGGCCGCCTATCCAGGCAGAAGATATCAAGGGCGCTGGGGGTGTTCGTGACAAGTACACGTGGATCTTTTTGAGCAGTGCTGGATACTTGCCAAGCTGAAGAAATGGTATTAAATGCAGGCTGCTAATGAAAAACACTGCAGATGAAGAGCAGGTGCTCTGAGGAATGACCTGGCTGTTAAGAGTAGCTTCTAAACATTGACCCAGATGTAACACGAAATGGCAGTTTTTCCTCTCATTGGAGGTTTTGAGGCATTTTTTTGTTTATCCCTATCTGGTTACCTGATTTCATAGAGAACGAAAGTGCTTGGGGGCTTTTCTTTCTTCTAATAACAGAGTAGTTATCCCCTCGGAGGAAGGATCCATCCATAACTTCTTTTAAATTTTACAAAGTAAAGCTTTGCAAAACAGAAGATGATTAGGTGAAGATGTATTGGCCGTTGCTATTACTGCCTTTGTACAGTCAAAGAAAATGTTAGATTGGAAAGGACTCCTGGGTGGGATCTAGCCTAGCCTCCTGCTCAACGCTGACTTCAGAGTGGCATACCGCAGTGAAGGGAGGGCTCCTGACGTGGAAATGCAGTGCCTGAAAAGGGACGGGAGAAAGAATTGAGCATCCAGTGTGGTTTACCTGTGGAACCGCTTCATTCTATTGAAGTTGAAAACTTACCAGTGTTTAACAGGCATTTGGTACAGCTATCACTAAGTTTCACAAATAAATTAGCACATACATAAAACTAAGACACGAGCCATTTTGCCCTAAGCGAAAGCGAATCAGTGGCAGACAGGAGGTTACAGAGCTGCATTGCTTACACACAGGTTCACTCTAGTTTTCTGCATCTCAATCTGAAGTAAACAAGCTACTGATGGAGATGAAATGCTTTGCCAAGTGGCCCAGTGGTCTGCCTGTTCCTCCTTCCATTAAGAACAGAGGTACCTTCACACTGGTTTGTGTGGATTCCTTACTTCGTGCTGCACATGGCAAGACTCTTGAGCGCCAGCTTGAAAAACGTAGCATTTTGTAGAAACACTCCATTACCGGGACCGTTGGTGTCTGCCCCCGAAACACAATACCGTTTTTTCCCACCAAGACGACGGTGAACTCCCCTAAGATTTAGTGGGGCAGCTGCACCAAACCTTGTTTTTCTCTCAAGAAGTTGGGAAAAAACCTGCAATTTCCTGGGTGATAAATTTTTCATCATTTGACACTTCTCACTGAAGAGTCATTAGAACAAGTCCCTGCCCTTACATTTCAGTTTTGGGGCTGTTTGGACACCGATAGGGTGTTGGCAGAGTGAGCTTTGCCAGCACGTTCATGTGTCGAGCGGGACATAGGTGTATGGCACTGAGCTTGGAGTGCACGGACTGTGAAGTCGGTGGAGTAAAGCCGTGTTAGGGAAAATGGAAGTGGTTTGCAGTAGTGGTACCAGGGGATCAGGTTAGCAGTGCTGTGGTAGCATCTGGCCACGATATTCTTTGCTTATTACAGACTGAACTGAACATTAAGGGTGACCTGGTGAGCAAACCGTAACAAGCGTTTGCTTTTTTCCTGCCTTTTAGGCATGGATTCTGAACTCCAGTGGAGCTGGTAAGAGTACTTTCTTGCCTGAAAACGCTCCCCCTGGTGCAGTGGTCTCTCTACGGTACAGGCAGTGCAGGGGGGTGGGCTGTGGGTGCAGAAAGGCGAAAAATGCTGCCCAGCTAGATACTAATTTTTACTGTGAGGATATGGAAGGCACAGGGGGCCTCATTTTGCTGGAGGATTTACTAGGAGAGGTGTTGAGACTGCAACTGGAGTTCCAGCTCTGTCTGCCACCTGGAAAGGGGGTTTTCACACTTTGTAGAAGGAACTCACTAAAGCATCGTTTGCAGCCTTGATTTAGGAGAGATTGGGGTCTCTCTGGAAGGTGAACATAGTGCAGGAGATTGAAATGGGGATGAGATCCGACAAGTTTGTTTAACACAGGGTCCTCAACACAATCAGTCCCTTTTGGTTGAAAAGCTCAGGGTTGGAGAATAATCGTGGAGCACAGTTTGTGGTTGAGAATGAAGGTGGGGGGAGAAATCAGCAATGTTACTGCTTTTTACATACTCCGGGGAAATGAAAACTGGGAGGAGCTTAGACTCACCACAGGATTTCCTCCGACTTCCACGGGATCGGGGTATCAGATCACCTTTTCTGCCTCAGCAGGCGGATGTGCTGTGGTCAAAGGCATTGGGATTTCTACCAATTTGACCCAAAGGCTAAGGGAGAAGCACAAAATAACAGGTACCAGTGAAACTGGTTTAGTATTCATTTTTCTTAAATAAATTCATCTGGGCACTGCTAGGTCCATTGGTCACTCACCCAACAAGCTGGATGTACGGTATAGCAGCACTCCGGGTATTCCTGGTTCCAAAGCTGCTGCTGTCAATGCAGGGACACCCAGCAGAGTGTCCTGACCCAGGATATCGGAGTGCCTGGGCAGCGGCGTGTGTCATAACTGTCTACAGACTTAAGTGCAATTGTGTACATTTGTTACATAGTTTGCCTTAGGACTGTGTATAATTCCTGTGGTTTGATGTTTATGTTTGGTGTAATCAGAATCCATAATTCATCTACTACTACATTTTACAGAGGTGTCCATTTTCCCTTTTTTTTTTTTTTTAAAAAGTTTGTTTGTCTTCATCAACTCAAACCTACAATGGAGCAGATAAGTCTGTACTGGAATGCTTAAAAGATCTTTCAATAAAAAATTGGCTTCTAGAGTTGTGTCGCTACAAATGGATTTTTCTTCTTCCACCGCATTGCAAACTACCAGAAAAGTTTCTGCTTCTCAAGCTGTGTCACAGATGTCCCATTAGCCCTAGGCCTCAGCCCCTGCCATAAAAACCTTGTGATAAACCAAGGCTTTGCCTACAAAAACATTCACCCAGTGACCACCAGTGCAAAGTACCTTCAGTCTCTGTGCTCCGTCAGCGTCCAAGGGCTTTGCTGCCTCAGGGCAACATGTGCTAACTTGCTGGTTTTGTCTTTTGTATTTTGATACATTACAACACCCAGAAATCAGAAAGCCCTCTCTCTAAAACAAGTCCATCTTAAAGAATTCTTTCATGAAGCAGGACAGCACCCTGGGTGGTTGTCATAGTGAGCGAGGTCATCCTGTGACACAGTGGAAAGAAAGAAATCGGATCTCCTCAGTAAAAGTATATAGTGTGGCCTCTGCACGGATTCAAGACTTTTCAGTTATCCTAAAAGAAATGATAAGGAGAAAATAACAGCCAAGGGTTTTAGCTCATCCACAGAAGTAACCCTGAGATCACTATTATTTTTAATTACTACTGCTTTTACAGCTGAACTCAAACCTACTTTTACTCTCTCTCCCTTGAAAGGAGCAGCCTTAACTTCAATGAAGTCCGAGCAGTTCCCTACAGCTGAGCCCCAGCCCTTCCTTTTGGGACTAAAGCGAGTCCCTTTTTGTTATCCTTTGTTGCCAATCCACTTCTCGTCTCAGTTTGGAGCTGATGAGCTCTTAAGATACACGCATACATCCCGCGTCGCTAAGCATATAGGAATCACTGCTCAGGTCGGTGAATTTTAAGAGCGTGGGTAGGGTGTTGGGAAACGCGCTGACAGCTTGGCCCTTTCCTCACACCTGCCCTTTCACAGCAGCTGGGAAACGGCTCCCGGGTTATTCTGCAATCGAGCATTTGTCCTGTGACCTGCTGGTGCGTGCGTGCCTGCGAGAGGGGAGGGGGGCAGCCGAGTCCCGGCAGTACCACGGTGGTTCCCTGCCCAACCTCATCAGGATGGTCTTGGGAGAGCAGCCAAGCTTTAAAGGAAAGCAGTCCTTGCTCTCACAGGGCACTTAGAGAAGCTGGCCCTCCAGGAAGGGCTGGAAGCTTTCCCCGGAGCTGAGGGCAGCAGCTTGTGTCAACACATCCCCCCCAGCCTACCCGCGTGGAGCGGGGGTCGTGGCTGCGGAAAACTCAGCGTTTTCATCACCGCTGTTGTGCAAGAGCCTTGCTCTGCCTGCACGCACACGCACACAAACCACGCATCAGTATTTACATTTGTAACATGCTCTTGCCCAGGGCTTGTCTTTGCTCTCGCTCAGCGCTGTAACCTCCCCCCGGCTCTGCCCAGCAGAGCAGAGGAGGCACCGCAAGCGGGGAGGGAGCAGTCCCTCCTCCCGGGGGAAGGTGCTGGTGGGACAGCCTCTGGAAAACCAGCTGGATTTGAGCTACCACTGGCTCTCGGCAGCCTGGTTTTACCCTTTATTTAATGTGGTCGGTTACATTTTTTTGGTCATTCCCCTCCACGCAATAATGACTTCACAGCTTTTCCTAGACGTTCAGACTTAGAAAAACCACGTTGCGTCTCCCGCTGGCCTGCCTGCCCCGCAGCACGGAGGGCCTCAGCGGGGGCAGCACGCCGGGGCTGCGGCGGGCCCTTGAGCAGGCAACGACTGCGCTTATGGTCATCACTGGCCGTGTCCAAGCTTTGGTCCCATTTCTTACAAATTCCCCCTCCTTCGGGGCCAGCCACGCACCCAATGCAACATCACTCAACTCCCCCGGGAAGACAGGGCAGGACTTGGCTCCCAAGACACCAGTCCTGTTCCCGTGCTCGCTCACCCTGTCGTCCTCCTCTCCACGTTGTGTGGGCACGCTAACCTCACCAGTGAAGCCACACCGCGCCCTGACATGGAGAGACACGTTCCACTGCCAGTGATCCTTTAAAGGCACATGTAGCTTTCTTACGATGGTATACAGCACTAAACACTCTGAGCCTAGAAAGCAGGCTCCAAACTTCACCCTTCCGAACTGTCCAAGCCATCAGAAGCGTGATGAAAGACAATTTGGTCACAGCAAATTGGCCACAAATTTGGTAACACTGGACGGGGCTATGGCACTATCACAGAATGAAATGCTGCCATTTTTTAGTTCAAAATAGCTCCCCTCCACCAAAACCAGCCAGCTACAGACCTTCTGTGAGCTGGCACGCCCAACAGATGCGTTGGAAGATCTGGCCATTTGTTTTAGCTGCTAAATTGAATCCCTGGCCCTGGCAGGTGCTTCTGCCTGGCAGAAGCCGTGGTGGAGCTGTAGGCTTGTGTGCTTGCAGCGAGCTGCCCTGTCACTCACCAGCTGCCCTGCTGCACTCCCAAGCCGGCTGCTGGCCTGTCTGATGCCTGTTGGGGATTTTACGGCTCCAACACTGACATTTGAGCTGCCCTGAATTTCACAGGACACCATTCTTCCTTCTCCTGGACCCAGGTTTAGCGCAGGAACCTCACAAAAGGCTACGGCTTTCCTAATTAATCACCTTTTTGTGTGTCTGGATGGAAGGGAGCCAAACGAACTCTCCCAACACCTGATTTTCCACAGGGACTCTGAATTGCACTATCTAAATGCAACACCAAAGCCTGTGCTCCGTGGGGCAGGGATGGGACTGCACTTTCCCAATCAAAAGGTCCATCAGGACTGCGGCCCCTGCCGCTTGCCCACGCTTGCTCCTGGCAGCTCCACTCTCCGCCCTGCCTGGGGGGCGCCAGAGGCAGCCGCGCAGCCCAGCCTGACGGGCTCCGGCCACCGCCCTCGGCCTCTGGCTCCACAACCCGCATGGAAAACAAAAAGGGCAATTTTTTGTTTGTTTGACCAAGGCAGGCTTCTTGGCGACCTGTGGAAGGGAGTTTTTGGACACGCCGCAGGCCGGCAGAGGTGGAGAGGAGGAGCATGCACACACTGGGGTGCCGAGGGCAGATGAGGGCCATGAAACCACCCCGCGAGGCTGGCTCACCTTTCCAAAGCCGGGCGATGCCCTCCATCAGACTTCACAAGCTGTGGAGACGAGCCGCTGCGGTGCGCTCTGTAGGCAGGACGTGACACTGAACTGCAAGTTCTTGGAGTCATTCAAAACGCTGTACCAAGTTAAGCGCACGTTAACTCTGTTTTTGCCCACGGGAAAATGAGGTTGAAACACTGCATGCTGCACGATGCAGCTGCACACGCCAGCCTGGAGCTACTGTAAGGAGGGCATCTCTCCCCACAAGGGGTGGGCAGCAATGCCAGACCCTACACCCCGCAGAGAGCATGGTTTGGTGGCTCAAAATGCTTTGAAGAAGTTCATCACGAGCTGCTCCATGACAGCAGAGTAGCACGCTGGGCTGCAGCCGTCAGGTGCCTGCAGGTAGGCTGAGAAGTACAGTAATTCCCCCATTAGAGAGAAAACATTTTTTCCAGTGTATGAAAAGATTTAAAATATGGAAATCCCCAAGTAAGAAATACTTGAACCTATGAAAAGTGGACATTACCGATGCTATATAACCAATATATGGCTTAGAAAGGCCATGAAAATTGCTTCTACAACTACCGCTTGAGAGCACACTTAAATATAACTAAAACCCCCGAAGAGTTCACGGAAGGAGTTAACATTTAAACGCCATAAGCACAGACAACTGCATTCATGGGCAGAAGTTCCTTTTCTTTTACAACCAAAGAAATCACTTACTGTCAAATACCAAGGATGCAATGTCAATTCCAGTGCTCATCAGCCAAGGAATGTGGTGGGCCCAGCTGCATCAAAGCCTGGTTTTTAGTTAGAGAAAAACTGTTAGCCACCATTGCTAGCACATAATTAACTGCCAACAGGAAACCCCACATTCTTCAGCATTACCAGCTTAGAAAAGGGTATAAAAATGGACTGAAGAATTAGTAAAATATTTCAACATTTGGGGATCTTAGGCTGTTCCTCACCAGATAAGGTCAAGGCCTGCTCTAGCAGTCATTCTCTCCTTGGGGAAGATGATTTACACTGGGTTTTGGTACTTCCTCCTCTTCCACTGTCCTTATCCAGCACGACTTAAATCATTCTTTTCTGTCTGCTTTCCCTGTATCGGTACAGCCTATTCTTCTACACACTCCCAAATTCTGCTGGCTTCACACCCTACAATGACACTTATATAAAGCAATAAAGAATAACCGAAGACACACGATTTCACACTGCATCACCGTGGATGCCCGTACTCACATTCAGAAAGCAAAACCGGAACAAGTAATAGAAATTTACTCCTCGCGACGATATACAAACATGCTACTCATTAGTTACCGCTCCCACGTTAAAAACATTTATTCAGCTGCAGATGTTGCGTCTTTCCAACAAATGCAAAACAGCTTTTTGGTGGTAAATAGCAAGTATTTATTGGAAATGAAAAAAATACTTCAGTACCTGAACTATTGCATTTAATCATGTATTGTTGTAATTGTGTTACTCTACCTTTTTGCATTGGAGACAAATATACAATGAACATTCAGATATCACAGATTGCACACTAGATAGTAAATCGTCAGGCCTTTTACGTAACCACCAAAAAACAGATATTGGATTCTGCAATATAGTACAAAATTCCACACTCCAGTCTTAGCCAGTTATCTTCAATTTACTCCTGATGCTGTACAAATAAATGGCCATTTAACTAGGGCTTACAAGTTAATAACAGGACAAAAAAATATACATTGCACTGACACAAAAAGTCAGCTGTGTTAATAGTCATGCAACAAGTAACCAAACTTGCTGAAATTAAAAATACTTTCTAAAAACAGTTTTAACTGCATAAATATTTTATACACAGTTCATTTACTGAAACAAAAGGAATCTTTAA